TGAAAACTCTAGCCCTGCTGGTGTTCAATAAGTACTTGTTGAAAGAATTGCCTCATGAGGATCAATGTCTATTGGCAGGTGAGAAGAAAAGTGCACCTTTAAGAAACAATGCACATTTAATATGAAAATGTCCTGAGGGCAGATTATGCAGTTAGTTAAGCAAATATTATGACAATACGAAGATTATTTTACGAACACAAAGATGGCCTTCTTAAATTGTACCGGCTGCTGGGATCGTCTTATGTAGGGTAAACACACCTGGTAGCAATTATTTAAGCACACTATGAGAATGATCCTGGATGGCAGATATATCTGAATGTGTGTTCCAAGATGGGGAACCCAAGTAGCCAATATGGAAGTTTGTTCCTTATCTTTGGTAAACATCTGAGGCCCTGGTCTGTTTCATGGAACACGGGCTCTACATGGAAGCCCTGAGTTTTGGATGAAATGAGGGTTGCCAGGTGGAGGTCGTCAGGGGCGGATGTTAAGTGGAAATGCTGTGGACGCTGCATGCTGTTTGCAGGCGCTTGCAGTTTTCCTGGCCAACCCACTGCCACTGGGCTATGTGGTTATGTTCTCCAGCCTGCCGCCGCTGGACTCTCTCCCCTGGATGCAACCCCCTAATAAAACTCTGTGTCTCCTTTGCTGGCTCTGGGTCTCTTCTCTGGCCTCTTGAACCTGGTGCCTTCCCTACTGAGATTAATAGGAGTTTGGCACAACACCTTCTCCCCAAGAATATTGTGATAGAATCAGCAAATCCTACCTACCTTAACCAATCTCCACCTCAGACAGAACCATTCTTTACTGAATCCAACAGCAGTTTCAGCACAAGGCATCTGGAACACTAAATAATTCTCTTAGCAAAGTGTATAATGAAGACCAGGACCCACCAGTGGGAATTTACACTATAGAAGAGCTATTTTCCTTCACGATATGAGCCAACTAGGAAAAGAGAAAATGATTTCCCCCTTTAACATTATTTAACAAGAATGTTAAGTGACAAAGTAGACTAGCAAAGCCGTCCCTGCTGTATAATCCCACCTTTGTAATAAACATGACCTCGAAGAAATTTACCAAAATTTAAACAGTGCTCATATTTATCTTTGGATACAGAGATTATGGTGATTTTTATTTTCTCCTTTATACCTTTCTGTTTCCTGAATGTTCTGCCTAGTGCAGACACTCCTTTAATGAGAAAAAAACACATTAGCCTTTAAAAATTTTGTGTGTGTGTGCAGGAGGTGGGTTAAAAAAATGTAAGGTGCTTCAGCTTGGGGAGAGACTATCAGAGGCATTTCTAAATCTGCTGGCACTCAGACAAGGAGGAACAGGTTTGTCTGACAGTTTGAAAGCTCAGCAGGTCCATTAGTGCTTTCATAAGCAAATGAAGATTTTGCAAGCCTGGTGTGGAGCTTGCCAGCTTCAGCAAAGTTGGTATCAGACAGGTGACCAATAAAGATGAGGTTCTAGTAACCACTGTCTGTCCACTTGGTGCCCAGATGGACACATATGAATGGATTTGAACACTTTTGATGTCAGACTGCCATTGAGTGATAATGTTAAATACACGGAGAAGACACAAGGAGAAACTACTCAGAAAGATTTATGGTACTAACCCCTTGGTTCCGACACTCAACTAAAGCTGCTCTCAATGTTTATAAATCTATTTGGTTTGGAAGTCAGGTGCAAATGGCATATGAATGAATCTTTTAGAGAAAATTTATCTGAACTTATGTGCTTGGCTTACCCGAGAAGCCCAATGAGTATCATAGACCAGTAGGCACTCTCAGATAAAAAATCACAAATCCAGTAGCAATGTCCTTTTAACTTCAGCAACAAGGCTCTCTCTTTCCCCAGAAACTTCCAACTCTTCATAACCATCTATAAGACTACTTCTTTAAAACTTTCATCGTGGGGGCAGTGGCTCACGCCTGTAATCCCAGCATTTTGGGAGGCCGAGGTGGGACGATTGCTTGTATCCAGAAGTTCGAGACCAGCCTGGGCAGCATTAGCCTGACTCTGTCTCCACAAAAATATTTAAAATTATTTGGGTGTGGTGGTGAATGCTTATGGTCCCAGCTACTCAGGAGGCTGAGATGGGAGGATTGCTTGAGCCCAGGAGGTCAAGGATGCAGTGAGCTATGATTGCACCACTACACTCAGCCTGGGTAACAGAGGAAGACCCTGTCTCAAAAAAACAAAACCAAACCCTGCTGCTCAATCTCTTTTTGTTATGAGCTTCTTCCACCTCTTCCTGAATTTTCTGCTTTTCCTCTGTTGCGTGACACAGATATTCTTCCTTCGTTACTTTCCTGAAGCAAAACTTTCCCTTCATATCTTCAACCCCAAAACCGTCAACACCCTTCCGGTATCCTCGAACACCCATCCCATCTCACTATCATCAGAAAGCCTTAAAGTTAGGAAGTTTTATTTTCTGCTTAACTTAAATGTCATCTATTATAAATTGAGTTGTAAACAACTTGAGGGAAGCAATCTATTTATCCATCTTTGTATCCCTCCAGAAGCACGTAGGCTACTAAACATTTGTAGAACAAATGAGTTTCTTCTGAAAGAACAACAGTAGCACTTTATAAGGATATCATACATTTGTTTATATTGAGTCATTTTCAAAGCATATGAGCCTCGCAGCTGCAAATGGGATCCGCAGAACTACAGAACTGACATCTTCTGGGAGTTACTTGGAAAAAGGCATCTTGGCCTCCTGCTCCCTTCTGCTCCCCGCTTCCCTTATACACACTGACTGAATTATCTGCGGTGTGAGTTTTTTTTTTTTTTTTTTTTGCCAAGAGACGGAGTTTCACTCATGTTACCCAGGCTGGAGTGCAATGGCGCGATCTCGGCTCACCACAACCTCCGCCTCCTGGGTTCAGGCAATTCTCCTGCCTCAGCCTCCTGAGTAGCTGGGATTACAGGCACGCACCACCATGCCCAGCTAATTTTTTGTATTTTTAGTAGAGACGGGGTTTCACCATGTTGACCAGGATGGTCTCGATCTCTTGACCTCGTGATCCACCCGCCTCGGCCTCCCAAAGTGCTGGGATTACAGACTTGAGCCACCGCGCCCGGCCAGAATCTGAGTTTTAATAAAATCCCAGGCAATTCCTTTGGCATTCAAGGTTGAAGACCATTGGCCTAAACTGTAGCATTGGCTCTCAACCTTGGCTGCACATTGGAATCATATAGAAAACTCTAAAAATACAGAGGTCTGGTTTCCAGCCCTCTTCTGCGCATCCTGATTTAATCAACCCCCACCCCCCACCTCGAGCAATAGGATTCTTCTTTTTTTGAGATAGGGTCTCGCTCTGTTGCCCAGGCTGGAATAAAGTGGTGCAATCACAGCTCACTGCGGCCTCAGCCTCCCCAGGCTCAGGAGATCTCCCAACTCATCCTCCCAAGTAGCAAGGACTACAGATGCACACCACCATGCCCCACTAATTTTTGCATTTTCTGTCGCTCAGGCTGGGCTTGAATTCCTGGGCTCAAGCAATCCGCCCACTTCAGCCTCCCAAAGTACTGGGATTACAGGTGTGAGCCACCACACCCTGGCCAACAACAGGATTCTTAAAGGTGCCCCAGTGAGCAGCCAGAGAAGAGAACCATTGTGAGTGTCCTCATGGGAACGCTCCAAAACTCCTACAATATTTTATGAGCCCAGTGTGTCGCTTCTATAGTGATTTCCCTTTTTTTCCCCCATGCAACTTTCCCTTAAGATTGTATTACTTCTCATCTTCCATAAAAATATCACTCAGGCCGAGCATGGTGGCTCACACATGTAATCCCAGCGCTTTGGGAAGCCGAGGTGGGTGGGTCACAAGGTCAAGAGATCAAGACCATCCTGGCCAACATGGTGAAACCCTGTCTCTAGTAAAAATACACAAAATGAGCTGGGCATGGTGGTACATGCCTGTGGTCCCAGCTACTCAGGTGGCTGAGGCAGAAGAATCACTTGAACCCAGGAGGCAGAGGTTGCAATGAGCTGAGATCACGCCACTGCACTCCAGCCTGGCAACAGAACAAGACTCTGTCTCAAAAACAAAAGTAAACAAACAAAATCTCTCAGTTTTATTTCTTATTAGACACTTATTGAACACCTAGGATTTGCGCAAACACAAAACCTGTTCTTAAACTTCCTTTCACAGTAAATTATCTAAATTTTCTTTCTTGGGCTATTTCTCCATTAATCCTATTTTCTAATTTTATAAGCATTCTTTGGTACTGATATAATTTTGACTTGTCATTTCCAGAGTAGAGGAAAAGAACATTAATTCCATTTTGTCTAGTTTTAAAACAACTTACAGATTATTTTAAGCCAGAAATACAAAAATTGATTATATTTAAAAGCAAATAGACCCGTTTTTTTTTTTTAATTTTAATAAGTTTTGAGATCGAGTTTTGCTCTTGTTGCCCAGGCTGGAGTGCAATGGCGTGATCTCAGCTCACTGCAACCTCCGCCTCCCGGGTTCTGGACGTTCTCCTGCCTCAGCCTCCCAAGTAGCTGGGATTACAGGTGCCTGCCACCACACCCAGCTAACTTGTGTATTTTTAGTAGAGATTTTTTTTCGCCATGTTGGCCAGGCTGGTCTTGAACTCCTGACCTCAGGTAACCTGCTTGCCTCAGCCTCCCAAAGTGCTGGGATTACAGGTGTGAGCCACCACGTCCCGCCGACTCAGTTCTTTAACCTTGATCAATATAATCAATATACTATGTTTCACTTTTTCATCCAAACTATAACAGCTAAGGCTTCTAGAGGGTTTGCAATACCCCGACAGGTCCTAAATGTTTTACCTGTATTATCTCACTTGATCTACCCGACAATACTGTGAGGTACATTCTATTGTTATCTCTATTTTTTGGATGAAAAAACAATGACACAAAGAAGTTCAGTAACTGGCCTAAGGCCACACAACTTGTCATCCTGAAGATTGGCTCCAAACCCAGGCAGTCACAGAGCATGCTGGTCACTATTGAGCCATCTGTTCTATGCGGGACGGCGCTCCAGGAACACAGTGATACTGTTTAGGATTCCAGAGTCTGGGGGAGCGACTACTTCTTTCTTAGTTCTTGACAGACCACTGAATGCACTTTTTCTAAACCTTCTTCCCACTTTAAACTGTGGTCCATAAAGCTGTTTCCCAGGTATAACCCACTGTGAAGTTGAAAATGATTTCATGTTTGGACAAATTCCTACTGAATGTTAAGCTAGATAGGAAACACATTCTGACTGATACAGATGAAGGCCTGAATGAAGAAGTCTTATTTTTATTTTTTTAATTTTTTTTTTTTTTTTTGTTACCCAGGCTGGAGTGCAATGGCGCGATCTCGGCTCACTACAACCTCCGCCTCCTGGGTTCAGGCAATTCTCCTGCCTCAGCCTCCTGAGTAGCTGGGATTACAGGCACATGCCACCATGCCCAGCTAATTTTTTGTATTTTTAGTAGAGACAGACGGGGTTTCACCATGTTGACCAGGAATGGTCTCGATCTCTTGACCTTGCGATCCACCCTCCTCGGCCTCCCAAAGTGCTGGGATTACAGGCTTGAGCCACCGCGCCCGGCCAGAAGTCTTATTTTTATAAAGCAGTTTTCGCCTCCTCACCAGATCCAGTTTTCAATGTTGACATCTCTGTTGCAAAAAGATGATAAATAAATGTATCCTCTGCTCAGTAGTGGGTGTGTGCGTGTGAATATAAGGGTAAGAAAGTTAAGAAATGTCCAATAGTATACCAATGGCATTCTTAGGCTGGGCGTGGTGGCTTATACCTGAGATCCCAGCACTTTGAGAGGCTGAGTGGGAGGACTGCTATGGCCCAGGAGTTCAAGGCCAGCCCTGGGCAAAATAGCAAAACAATATCTCAAAAAAAAAGGAAGGAAGGAAGGAGGGAAGGAAAAAAGGAAGGAAGGAAGAAAATTTAAAAGGCAAAGGGCATTATTTATTTATTTATTTATTTATTTATTTATCTATCTATTTTGAGACAGAGCCTTGCTCTGCCACCAGGCTGGAGTGCAGTGGTGCAATCTTGGCTCACTACAACCTCCACCTCCCGAGTTCATGCTATTCTCCTGCCTCACCCATCCCTGTAAGTAACTGGGATTACAGGTGTGAGCCACTGTACCTGGCCACTAACACCTACTGAGAACATACTATGTGCCAAGACT